TAGTAAGGCACTTGTTCCTAGAAGTGATGCACTTGTTCCTACTAGCTTCTTGTTACTACTAGTAAGGCACTTGTTCCTAGAAGTGATGCACTTGTTCCTAGTAGCGTCCTCTTGTTACTACTAGTAAGGCACTTGTTCCTAGAAGTGATGCACTTGTTCCTAGTAGCGTCCTCTTGTTCCTAGCAGTAAGGCACTTGTTCCTAGAAGTGATGCACTTGTTCCTAGTAGCGTCCTCTTGTTCCTAGTAGGTAAAGCCAGAAAGCGCCCCGTTCGTCGCGTCCCAGGCAGGAGACGCCTTGCTCACAGAGGTCCGCAGGTGCGAAGTCGTGAGACCCGTTTATGGCATCGTTGCATGTAACAAAAAGAATTTAATTAGAATTGTAATTACTAGCTTCTTGTTACTACTGGCGTGGCACTTGTTACTAGTAGCGTGGCACTTGTTACTAGTAGCGTGGCACTTGTTTCAAGTAGCTTCATGTTTGGATATGTTTTGGTTCATGTAAATGTCATGAACACTTCAATGGAATTAATTCAATTTAGTCCTTACTGTGATCGGACTTGGACTTGTGCCTGGGCCCGCGGTGTTGGCTTCAGTTTCACCAAGTCCAAAAAAGAACGCCTGCAGCAATGAGCAAAGCTGCTGGCAAAGGACCTCCGCTCCCTCCAGCCTCAGGCCGGCTTTTGGGACGTCGTGGGTCCAAGATGAGGAAGTTGGAGGCCATTGCTATTGGGTTTAGCTACTAGGAGCAAAGGGCATCGCTACTAGTCGTAGCAGGAAGCTACTAGAGTTGGAGGCCATCCCTACTAGGTTGGAGGCCGTGGCCAGTCAGTTGGAGAACTTGGAACTTCCACTTTCCCTCGTTACTTTCTGCCGCGTTCCCCCTTGCTCACCGTCCTTTTGGCCTTTCTTTGCTAAGAAAAGACCCACGTTCTTGGCTTTTCTTTCTTTAGACCTTGAGTCTTTGTTCCTTCTTTTAGGCATTTGCGGGATTTCTGACCTTTTATGTGTCGTTTTTTTCGTTGGATTTTTTCGTGTAGAACTTTCTTTCTTTTTGTCCTTTCTCTTAGATGTTTTAGAGCCACCTGGAGTTGTTGAAGACAGTTCTTTTCTCAAAACTCCCACAATCCGGCTTGCTTCAGCACTGCAGCAAGTTCTTTGACCTTGCCAGGCTACGGCAAAGGCGGAAGCAAAACGGGAACGAACACGAATAGTACAAAGAGTGCCGTGGTGCAGATTAGTTTAACATTGACTATTTTTTTAACTGGGCATGTCTATTAGTTGATCATTTCTTGGGCAACCCGTGCGCTTGAGCACCGTATACCAAGGCCACGCAGTTCAGCTCACAGTGCGTCGTATGACGGGTGAAGAAATGTCAGTGCAGACAGAGTGGCGTGGTGCGCAGACAGACGATGGGCATTTTGGTTTCCTTTCTTGCTGAAAGATGACAACATAGGCAATTTGCGACGATTTGCGAGTGGGAGTGGGAATTGATGGAGCTTTGAGTTGTTTTGCAGCAGAGGCTTGATGCTTTGATTCAAAGCGTCCGTGTCTCCGTTGGCAAGAATCTGGGGGTCAGCCCTCACCGAATCAAGCTTCTTGCCGAGGATGCGCAGGCAGATGCCAAAAGACTTCCGACTCGCAGCACGTCAGTTGTGTTCTAAAACTCTTGAAGATCTTTCTTTTATTGCTCGCCATCGCTAGTAGGTTGGAGGCCACGCTACTCATTGTTGGGAGGGCTGAGCCCCTTCAAGGGTCGTAGCTTCCAACTATCTTTTGGGTCAGGAGCCAGGACGTAGTCAACATGACTAGTTCATAGCAGGTCCGTGATTGAAATACTTTGTGTCAGCCAAATACTTTTGACTCCACAATGTTCCATAATGTTCCTCCAGAATTCCTGTACTTCCTAAGCTCTACTGCCAATAAATGCACAATTTCCGCACCGCAATAGTTTGCTTTCTAGCGAGCCCTCGGATTTGGACTGCTAGACACCTTTAACTGCACATGTCGCACATTTGCTGTTGTTTCGCTTCTATATAGGTTGGAGGCCAATTGCTCTTGTTTCGATTGGATTCAGAACGCTTTGGCATTGAAGAACTGCTTGCACTGCTTGCCAGGTCTTGAACAACAGCAGCACCGTGAGGTGCGGAAACGACGGAGACTTTCAGGAAACGACATCCTTTCGGAGCCTCCAATCTACCTACTGTGCGATGGCCTCCAAGCTACTAGCGATGCTGGTGTATGCGGATGAAGATGTTATCCCTTTTTTTTAATCCCTTTGTTTAGACTCTAGACCTCTTGTTCTTTGGGCCCTTTCCGAGCCCTTTTGCTTCTTTGCCCTAAAATTCCAGGAATCCAATCATATTTGTGCGAGCGCTTCTTGAAGGAAGCACTCCCCGCCCTCAAGCTGGGGCAAGCTCCCTTGAAGAAGCGTGAACTATCCTGTGTCCATATGTAGTAGCTTCCTATTGCTAGTAGCGAACTACTCACTTAATTAAGTAGGCGCCTACTGAATAAAGCAAAGAGGCAGGGCCACCGGCTTTAAAACAAATCGACGTTTAGAGGTTTTTACTTTTTACATAGCTACTAGGAACAAGTGCCACGCTAGTAGTAACAGGTGCCTTACTAGTAGTAACAAGAAGCTACTAGGAACAAGTGCCTTACTACTAGTAACAAAAAGAATTTAATTAGAATTGTAATTACTAGCTTTTTGTTACTACTAGTAAGGCACCTGTTACTACTAGCGTGGCACTTGTTCCAAGTAGAATTTCATTAGAATTCTTCTTTTCAGGCCTGACCTTTCATGACCCATCACCTACCTTTCATTACCCCCAAGACGGAACGGTCGTTGGTCGTTGGTCTTTTGACTTTGCTTCCGAGGCAGTCCGGGTTGGAAGAGGGTGCCATCTTGACCAGCGTTGTACTCCCGCCCGTCTATGGCGCATTAGGACATGCAGGAATCTCAGCACCAGATGAGGCCGGGTTGTGAGTCCAATTGCACCAGAATGTACCAGAACATGAGCTGTTGATCGAAGCGTGCAGGTCATTTCTGCCAAAATGGAGCTTCATGATGCCTTGTCACAAGCTGGGAAGCTGACACCTATTCATACGCCGTCCTAAAGGCACTTCACGCTTTGAGAGCGGTGCAGCCACACGGCCGTGTGACAAGACCGTTCTTGCGGCTCTAGTGCGCCTTCTCGTGCTGCTTTATCCGCTCGGACTGCACTTGTACAGTGGGACCAACGTTGGCAGAAAACAGATTCGAAGCAGCGTTTTCAGCTTTTCCTTTTGAAGCGGAAACACAGCAAAGATTAGAATCTGCCAGATCCATGAAGGGTAGGTTGGAGGCCATCGCTCAATCTCGTCTCCAGCGGTGAGGGGATCCGAGTGCCAAAAGCTATGGCTGCGTTGCGCTGGTTGCGCCGTTCTCGCTCGTTGCGATCGCGTGGTCTATTCGTGTCTCAGCACAAGGACACTTTGTGCGACAAGCTCCAATTGCGTGTGGAATACGGTAAGAATATGTAAGAATACGGTACTAGATGGTAATAGCATTGGTGCTATCACTTGGTCGTTGGTGCTTGTACGAACGGAATTGGCACTGAGACATTCTGTAACACGGTCGCATGAAGTTGTCTTTTTGGAGTATACCATCCCGGTGTCACACCGTCGACTAATCAGCTACAGCCTAATCGGCTAATCGGCTAGTGATAGACATGTCTCTCTTTGTGTGGCCACATACCCGACGATTCCCTCCACGTCGTGTTTTCTCTAAGACTGAAGCCGCTTCTGCCAAGGAAAGCGGCCAAGAGCCGACGGAAACACAGCGAAGCCGTGCAGCAAGTGGCGTGGAAGCCGTGGACACCGTGGAACCAAGCAGCGAATCGAGAGCATTTGCCAAAGCAGCCGCCAAAGCTTTGCGTCGCCATCAGTGGCAAGTGACCTTGGCTTTGTTGAGAGATGGAGCAGGAATAACCTTAGCAGGCAGAGTAAGCAACATCAGCACCCATGCTAAGATGACGGACAAAAACGACAGCAGTGGCAGCACCCATCACAGCAACGGAGCAAACAGTTCCATGAAGAAAGACGATGTGGATATTGAAAACGATGAGATCGATGAGATGGATGAGATCAGTCGCTGGAACATCATGATCAGCGCCTGGGCATCTGGCAACCACTGGCGACGTAGCCTCGCAATTCTTCAAGCCATGGAGAACAGCAGCCCAAACAGTCCGCTGCCAAAGCCCGATTTGATCTCCTTCAACGCAACGCTTCACGCGCTGGAAAGATCTTGTAAGTGGTGCCCCAGCAGAATTGAGTAATTATTGTTTTCAACAGCACTTTCATTCACAAAGGGCATCGCTACTAGGAGCAAGGACGCAACTAGGGGATCCTGGCCTTACTACTAGGAACAAGAAGCTACTAGGAGCAAAGGGCATCGCTACTCGGAACAATGACGCTATGATGTTCACAGAATGGGGTCACAATGATTTGAGATGGAAGAGTTTCCAAGCAAAGCTAGAGTCACAGCTGGGTTGCAATGGCGATGACCTCTCCAACCTGACTAGCGATGGCCTCCAACTGGTGGTTGAAGGTGTTTAAACACTAAAACTGTCTTAACATCTCAAGGCAACATTGCTTGGCGCTTTTGGCAGCGATGGAAAGATCGAGTTGTATGGATGCATGGAGCATCAGGATTGCCATCTCTTCGTGCGCGAAGAACAGAGATTGGCAAAAAGGGCAGGAACTGATCAAACAGATGCAGAAATGGGCTCTAGAAGCCGATCTTTTTTGCCATACAGCACTGTTGAGTTCGTATCAGAGGAGCACAGCGTGGGAGTTGGGTTTACGATATTTAAAGCTAGACATTGAAGAAGATGTTTTGAAGAGATTTGATTCAATTGGCTTTGAATCAGCTTTGAATCTCACCGCGGCCGGGGCTTGGCAAGAGGCTTTCTGGTTGTTCAGCCTCATGCAAGAGCAAGCGATCCAGCCAAGCATCACAGGTCTTGTCACTTCAGTCAAAGCGCTTCAGAACAGTTCAACCCCACCGACGCAATGCCAGAAAGGGAGTTTGCAGAAAGACCTCTACGATCAGATTGAACACAGCTGTGTGTCTTTGCTGCTGGACATCCGCCCCAGTGTGGAACAGCTCCTCACCGACGGACCTGATGGCTCCGAGGGATCGAAGATCAACAGCAAGACGCTGAGGCAACGCATCGTGCACATCGTCTCAGCCGTGGAGCACCTCCTCAGCGTTCGGATCGAGGGAGTTTCAGAGTCCTGCGCGAGGGAGGGGGTCGCTTTGGGAGAAGAGCAAGCACGAAGTCGCTCAGACGAGAGCGAGGCAAAGGAGCTGAAGAGTTTCCACACGATGCTGGAGAAGAGTTTGGGAAGAAAAGAGGAGTTTCTGGAGCAAGGGAAAGATTGGGAGAAGAGCTTCCACACGATCATCTTTTGGCCTGTTTTAGAGGCCTTGAGGAGTTCAAATGTTCGGCTTCTGGGGCATATCCATACACTTGGCGGCCATTTTACGCAAAAGGCCTTGAACGAGTTGAGGATGACACAGATGGAGAGCGCTGAGAGCTCCAACCCCTGGGCGTTGGATGCCCGGAAGGCGGTTGCTGCCGCCTTACAGGATGTAGACGTGGTCGAGCCATCTGCTAGACACTTGATGAGTTGGGTTTCGTATTCAGTCAGAATTCAGGTACCAAATATGAGGCCTCACCTTCTGCGTACGAGGGGCTTCGTGGTGCCGCATGGGCCCCATGATCGTCTCTCTGATGAGTTGCCCTCCGTGTTCTGTCACTTTGACCGGTCGCAGCATTCTGAGAGAAGAGCATTGTTGAAAGTCTTAGAGAGACTCAGTTCAGCAACTCAAGTAGCTCAGGCCGAGGCTCAGGCTCAAGCTGAGGCAGTTGTCACAGGCAGTGTGCGTCTCTTCAGCTGCCATACTCCGTGCGTCTCCTGCTTGTTTGTTTTCACGCAGTTCCAGCAACTGTTTCCGCAGATCCGCCTGCAAGTGGCCTTTCAGTCTTGGGCAGAGACCAGGGCCGACGCGCTGCAAAATTGCACAGACTGGCGCGCTAAAACGTGCTGTGCGCATCGCTGGTTGCCCATGTTCTGTTTCTGTCTGACTGGGGTAGTCGACTGACCGAAAAAAGCACAGACTGACAAAGTTGACATCCTGCCATACTAGTTGGCATCCTGCCTCCACTAGAGTCACTCGACTTCTGGAGGCAGTTCCAGAAGTATCATTGGAACCTGGAACCTGTTCGTGTGAAGCCCGAGACCCAGCTTTGAACGACGTCTAGATCAACCTTTCTGAGCATTTCAGAACATCACTCTCCTACATTTTACTACTATTTTGCTTACATGTTTTTTTAATGCTAGCTCCATGAACGCAGTGCTCCTTGCGGGCATGCTTTTGAGGGGATTAGTCGACGCATGTTTCAGGCTCAAATTGGCATCTGCAGGGCGCAATGCTGGACTTTTAGGCCGAGTTTGACATGTTTGCTCAAGCCACTGTGGAATTTTGTTTCCCACATCTTCCCACTATGTTGGGTAACCTCCACAGTCATGATCACACTAGAGTTTGGCTCCAGGAGCTGCAAGGGCTGCTATGTTGTCCCAAAGATGATGGCAGGTACGACACATACACGACTTGGGGAAGGCTTTTACTACTTAGACATCTTAGACAACTGACAACTCAGTAAGGAATTTGCAGGAGAACTTTCACCTACCGTGGCCTTCCCTTATCCCTTCTGACCCAGGAGTCCACAGCAACATCTCTTCAAAGCAGAAAGGCGGCAAGTAGACCCTACAGGTGTATTGTTCTTGCTTCAACGTCACCTACCCTGAAGCCTTCTGCAAACATCTGCAAACTACCTGTGTGGTGCATATGGAGTTCAACGACAAACACTACAAACACTTGGGTGCAATTTGTGTATATTTCAGACCTAATTCAGGCCAGTTCCGAAACCTTTGCATAGTCTATGTATGGGCAACCTTGCACAGAGTGTCTAATGATTCCCATCTCATCCCTCTCCATGTTTGTCCCCTTATGTTCCCCCTTATCCGTATCCATCCATCCCTATTCCATCTCCCAATCCAGCGCCAGGCGCGCTGCATCGCCCGTTCGAACGAGCGCATCGCGAGTTCAGTCGAGAAAAGGAACGCAGAGCGCAGCAGAGCGCAGCGGAGCGCAGCGGAGCGCAGGGTGGCTCCGCCGTCCTTTGGGTTTGCGGAACATATACTGCTACGCTGGGCGAAACAGCACACGTGTCGGTCGGTTGTGGTCAAACATGCCGTTTCATTTCGCAGAGTCAACGTGACGTCTTCCTACTCTGCGTTCTCAAAACAACAGTCGAGTCGGGAAAGCCGCCGTTTCAAGACCATGGCTTTGCGTTAAGACAGTGAACGGCAAGACGTGTCAATATTTCTCGTTCAATGAGGCAGAGCAACAAAAGCTTTGGCTGAGGCAGAAACAGACATAGACATGACATTGCCTCAAAAGACCCTTTGCTCGGGTTGATCTTATGTTTTGGACTCTTAGTCGAAGAGTCCAAATAAGAGAACTTTGGACCTTTAATCAGGTCCCTTAATATGATTTGTTTAGAATTTCATTGTCTTTTTCCTTTGAACACTTTAATTTCCTTCCTTTTTTTTTCTCCATATTCTGTGTAAAGAACCTGTAGACCCTTCAAGGCCGACACCACCTTCATTTGTCTTTTCAGGTTGGTCTATCTTGGAGTGTATAGATCTCATTTGCAAGCGTAGACTCGACCCACACCGCAGCGGTGCGCCGAATAGCGTCAGTTCTCCGACAACTCGCTTTGCTGACGCTGTCAGCGTAGTGAGAGACGCGAGTAAAAGCCCTGAAGCACCTGGCGCAAATAAATCTCATGTCTTCGTGGACCCTTCCTTCTCGTTGGAGGCCATCACTAGTAGTAAAACAGGGCATCGCTACTAGTAGCAAGCATGCTACTATGGGCGCTCCTGGCATTATTATTAGGTTCGTTTTTCTTCCACACGGTCGTAAGGTCGCACGCTTCAGAAACCACACTGCGCTGGGAAACCACGAAACACCAAAGCTGGGCAACACGAACGAGTCCAAGTCATTCTGAACGTGTTAACTTGAACTAGTACAGAATGTCTTGGTGTCATGCAGAGCCTAGGTCTAGTGGGTGTTGGGAGGCTTTCTTCGGATGTGGTCGTCGTATGCATGGTATCAATTGAAGAAAAAAATAAAAAGAGAAGGATCTCAAGGTGACATCAAGGTGACATCTTCCTAAAGATCTGGAAACATCTAGGCTTCGTGTTGGCGGCTAGCGGTCTTCACCACCCCACTCACCGCTGAAAGAGAAGATAAAGAGGAGTTGTGACACGCCTTGTGACTGCAGTGTAGCGGCTTCTAGGTTGGAGGCCATTCCTATTAGGTTGGAGGCCATTGCTTCTAGGTCCTAGCTGTCTGAAGCAGTGTAGCGGATTCTGAAGAAAGGCCCCAGATTTGGGGCTCCCGGCCACCCGGTCGCGTTCCGGAAGCTACGGCGTTCTTGGAGCTCTCAGTGCGTTTCGACAGACAAATCCCTTTTGCGAGGCCTTCGTGTTGACTCTTTTGGCCATGTGGATCAAGACTCTTTTCGTGTTGACCAGTGCAGCACGTGGCTCTTCCAAGAAGCTTGTTGTTCGTCTCTTCTCCAAAGGAACTGGTCTCTGAAATAGACGGAGCTTGTGCGGGATGAGTTGCTATCGTCGGTGCCGCAGCTTTTGTCTCGCTGCTTGCTTTTCTCGTGGGCGCTGGTGACGTGCTCCAACAACGGTCCAACCTCCCTTGTTCCTATAGTAGCATCCTCTTGTTACCAGTAGTAAGGCCAGGAGCGCCCCGTTCGTAGCGTCCTTGCTAGTAGCGATGCCGTTCCTAGTGTCTTGCTCCTCCCTGAAAGGCCCTTCTGTCGATGTTTCGAATTTCGCGCGCGACGTGACCATCCTTTGCGACACATCGATGCAGAACGAAGCGATGAAGCGGCGACGCAAAAGCAAAGGAAAGGACCGGAAAGGGCTTTGGTTGAAGGTTTTTTTTTTCCTGTATACTCTTGTGTTTTGGCAAAGAACAGCGAAACGTACCCACAGTGTGGAGCTCGCACGCTCAACTGTTGGGAGCGTGTTGCCGTGTTTGAATATGTTCTTATATAGGCTATGAAGCTGCGTAGTCTCGCCAAAAAGAGTTCAAACACCGAAGACCGAAGATCATTTTATGATCTGTTATGCCCTTTTGACCTCGTTGCTCCATTGGCCGCATGGAGCACGCTGAGTCGGCTTCGCAGCTTGGAGCTCCAATCCGACGATGCGCTCCAGAGCTGCCTGCTCACGCCGCGATCAACCCGTGTGTGACCCTGACCCGCTCAGCGTCACTAGTAGCTTCTTGCTACTAGTACTAGTAGCAAGGTGAATCGCTACCAGTAGCACTACTAGTAACCAGAAACTACTAGGCTGGAGGCCATCGCTACTACAGTAGGTGGACCAAATATTCAAACCCGTCGATGACTGTCACCAACCCCCGACCCCCAAAGGTCAATGTTGAACACGACTTCATTGAATTTGTGTTGCCAGGGTTTGGTTCGTCCATTCGCCAAAGCACTCTGGGAGCCTCCCTAACATTAAGTTTTGGGGTGGAAGGGGTCCAGGCGCTCCTCACGCACTGGCGCTGCTGCAATTCACATGCTTTCTGCCAGCCCACGCGGCACCCAAGGCCCACACCCACCAACAGCTGGCTTTTTGTCCCTCTCCTTCACGCAGGTGCTCGGCGCCTCCACCCGCATTTGCAGCAGCAGAGTGGCGCACGGCCCATTGCGTGGCAACAGGTGCACCACACATGGGAAAGCTTGCAACACATCACAGCCCAGACCGGCACACAGCTCCCGCCAGCAGAGCCACACTTGACCACGCGCCTGGCAACAGCAGGTTGCTTTTTTGCCCCCCGGCGCATTGATCGAGTACACCTGGGCATATGAGCTGTGCCTCCAACCGCCAGGTGCATCCCAAAACGGCTTGACGCGTGGCAGAATGGCGCCGTCCGGCCCAGCAACCCGAGCGGGGCCGAAGTACCCCAGGAATCCACACAGCAGAGCAATGCCGTAAAGGCAGCCACCAGCCCTGACACATCCACTACCCCACCTCATCCGACAGCTCGACCACAGATTCCGGCACCGTTCCGGCACCGCCCGCCGCAGAACCCGTGCCCAGATCCATTACAACGCTAACATCACCCCATCCACACACGACCGCAACAGCGCAACAACTAGCCAGCTAGAACCCTGCGTGCGCCAGGCATTGCGCAGCCTGGATTCCGTAGACCTCCTTGCCACCCTCCGAGGCAAAACCAGCCAATTCCAAACACCACCTCTTTTTCTTCGAGGACGGCTCCGGGCGGCTCAAATAGCAGCCGTGGACAGAAACCGATTCCGCGCGAGCGTGGGCTCTTCCCAGAAGAGTTTCCGACACGGGTCACCACCCATACCCGCGTTGCTCAACTCATAGACCAACTCCACCGCCACGATGGCCGCCGAATCGAAGTCATTACAAATGGCTTGAGCCTGTGGGGTGGCGCCCAATCAGCCGTTGACACCACTTTAAGTGTCCCCCCTCGCTCGGGACGGACTGCCCCGCACACATGCAGGCACCTACCGGGGGGCAGCTCTGCACGCAGCACGACGGAGCAAAGAACGAAAATACCCAGAACTTCTGGCGACCCGCCGATGCAGGCTTGTCGTGCTCGCCAGGAGGTGGAGCCAAGAAGCAGCCACCTTCATCCGGGACTTGGCCATGTCCAGAGCCCGGCAAGCCCCCGCCCTCCTGCAACCAGCCATGCCAACCGCCTTGGCCTCCCGGTGGTCAGCCCTCCTCAGCCACGCCGCCAGCCAGACTTTTGCAGCCACCCTCCTCACTGAAGAATTGTCCCCCAGCACAGCGTCGACAACCGCCTCCATCAGCCAACTTCTCGCGAATCCCCGCTGACAACCCCCACCTCCAGCCGCCTCCCCCCCTAACAACGGGGCCTGTGGCTTGGATTTGGCTGCCCGGCTCACCAACAGCTTGGGAGAAAAAAATATCGCGGCCTTCCCATGACTTCGGTGCCCCGGACTCCGTGTGTTAAACTGTTTCTTGACGATTTTGGCACACTTGAAAAGGTGAGAGAAAGCCGCAAGAGACACATATTTTCAATTGTTTCATTCTTTGTTCTACCCGTCTCTGCACTTCTGAGGGGCGGCCGCTGTGGAAGACCAGAGAAGGTCGGTTCGGCGTACGCGTGGGAAGATCAAAATGCGACGGACATCAAGAAGTACGAAGGAACCAGGCCATGCCTAGAGAACCATCATCAAAACACGAAGAAATCGGAATCGCGCATGGAATTACCATCTGCAAAATGAAGCGGCCGTTTTCCTTCAACAAACTCGAGAGTAGAGGCTTCACTGGGCATGAGGAATTCCGTGGACATGGTGTGAATCCACAAGACCAACACCCCACCTCCAATGGCATCATACTGGGACCATTGGAAGTGATCTTTGCCATGGTTCAAGCCCTTTCGAACATCCTCGGCTTCTGGTTCAGCCTGAGGATCCTGGTGTCTCAACTACCGGTGGTAAAAAAATTCTTCTCACACCGGTGACTGGCCTATGGACAATCCAATCGCACTGCACTCCAACATATTTGAATTCTCATTTCGCAAACGCGTGGAGTACCCTCTTCACAAGTGCTGCGTCCTTTAAGGACATGTTGGGAGCACTTTCGAAATTGCGCCTGAAAACTTTGCGGGCTGTCTTCGAAAAAGTTGGTCATGCCGCTGCTTCTCAATTTCGTCTCGTCCATCCTCATGACAATCTACCATGCCAAGAAGTTATAGGAGGAAATTCAAAAGGTTCACTAGTAAAATTTTGTGCCTAGATCTCCAATGTTCACCATCGAAGCCACCGGACCAAGCTTGAAGCATCGCTCCACCAACTTTTTTAGAATCCGCAAGTATTGAACCTCGAGATGTTTTTGCTATGCCACGAACTGCAACACTGCCACTTCGAATCTGGATGTGAACCTGCCCACGAAGAAGAAACATCAAGCAAACCTGCACGTATAGTGCCTCACAAGCGCCAGTGACTAAGGCAATGAAACTCGCTTTCACCACTTGAAAGGGCAGGTGTTCTTTGTGTCCAGCTCCAAGAATAGA